TACCAAAGTCATGATAAAATTATTAAACAAAAATACTGTGAGCCCCAGATTCCAAACCTACGCCAATAGAAAAATATACTGATGACCTTCCACGTGGCCAGAAAACTTGACAACTATTCAACTAAGAATTTAAAAAACGTTAAAGGTGGTAGTTTGAAAATACAAAAGATTTTGTTTTAATTGGCCGTTTCATGATTGTGTGTCTTTTCCCTCTGAGTTTTCCCAGCTCTTTGTTTGTCCCTTGTGCTGTTGTTGCTTCCTGCTCCACAAGCTGCAAGTCTTTAGTCAAAGCATTGCTTTGACAAGTGGAGATCAACTGGAGGGATCGCCAAGGGCAACCGTACTGAGCTGTGAAGAAAGGTCAGGCAGGGGTCAGCTGCAGCCCTGTTACCCTATACCTATGCAATAACAGGCCTGACCCCACGGGGGTTAAAGGTCAAACACAGCATGCTTTTTTAAAACTTTTACAAATAGTTCTTGTAGTGGCCTTCCTACTCCCCCTAAATGTTTTTTTTCTTTTTCTGGGGAACTGCAGCAACCCTGAAATGTCCTAGGAATCGTTTCTTTTTTTAATTTCTGGGTGATTTGATTAAAAACAACAGCCTTTTTTTCTAGTGTGTTTTTTTTATTGATATCGATTTTCTTTGAATAATTTTCCTTTTCTTTTTCCAACAGGACCCCGGGTTGGCCCTCAGACGTTCGTGTTAGCACAGGTTGGTAAATGATAAACTGAAGTTTGAAAACTCTTGGTTTCTTCTTGTCCGTTTTGCAATAAAGCCATCCTGCAGGTCATCTTGCATGTCTCAGGACAGACAAACAGAACACAGAGTAGCCTGTAAAATGTGCCAAAACTATTTTCTGAAACCTCATTTAACATTTGAGGGCCAGTGGCCGTTTTGAAGCAAAGAGAAACAAAAAACATTCTATAAATTAGTTTTTAATGTAATTCATTTTTAAATATTGCTTTCCCTTACTGTAGCATTGATTGGTGCGTGGATGTTTTTTTGTTTTGAATCAGGAGCTGAAGCTGGTTTATGATGTTAAATTCTGACAGCTGTCAAATGGGAGATCCCCACCAAAGCTCTCAACACAACCCTAGAGAGGTAAAATGAAACAGGTGAGTAAGCAATTACATTTCTCTACATAATAAAGCCAATTTATCCTGTCAGTGAAGAATAATTTCTTTCTAGACAGTAAAACACGGCTAACAAGGGCTTATTCAATCGCAAATAAGAGACTTTTTAACTCTAATTAGCATTTAATGTTTAACATATGGGCAGCGATAGGTCTTTGAACTCCATCTTTTCCATTTCCACAAGATGCTCTTCTTCTGCAGAAGGAACAGAGTAATGAGTTTTAAACTCTTCCAGTTATTAATCTAAACTTTAAGGGCTTGTACGAGGAGAAACAGTGTTGGATTCATAGAGGAATAGAGGATTTCACTGTGTTACCGTGCCTAAATTCTATATAACATAGCAAAACAGAGTTCAGGTCCTGTTGTATCTCTTCAGACTGACATCGTGCTGTACTGTTGTCGTTAATTACAGAAACAATGCCTTCATAGAGTTGCAATACAATTATTGCATTTCTGTGCCAAGTGTTAAAGGTTATAATAATAATAATCAGTGCACTAGTAGACGGTATTAAGTCTGAGTGTCTCAAAGTCTCGCCAGTCACTGATTTTAAAGACTGTTCTTCGTGGAAATGTTTTTACCTCAGAACAAAAAGATAAAACTTTTCCTTACCATTCCAGCTAGGATGTCAAACATATACACAGTATATGTACAGTACATTTAATACTGTACATTAATATACCGTATGTGCACAAGATGAATTTAACATATTCCATATGCCACCCCAGGGATGAATAAAGAATTTTGAATTGAATATAATCTGCTGTGGTCTGTTGGTGTACATGCAAAGTACAACATAACAGAGCAGGCAGTCAAGTTGTAGGGAGGGAGAATGAGGTGCAAACCAGGGGACAAACTATAGGAAATGGCAGAAATTCATGGATTTAGTGTGAAAAGGACTTGGAAATGTACCATGGTGAACTTTCAAAAAGGAAAGCACACAACCCACGTGGAAAGGCTTATCTTGTACTAAAACTGCGCCATCCCTTCATGGGGCTTAGAATGTGTGTCGTAGCTGCTTTGCAACCCCAATTAATCAGTGGTGAGTTTTATAAAAGCTGTCCAGGAATGCTTCAGCCACTCTGTACTTGAGCCCTTGTTTTCTTTTTCCTTTTTACAAACATTGATTCAGGTCTGTTTTAAAAGCCTGCTGGTTCAGTGTGGGAGCATGGGGCCGTGGAGATGCGCGCCCCCTGCTGGAAAGGGTAAAAAGTGAGCCTGCGGTCCTCTGATGTCCAGGCAGGGAGGTGCATTCAGTGGTGGGCACCCGTGTGTTCAGTTTCACTTTAGTTCAATCAATTCAAGTTTTATTGTCCCCTAGGGGGAAATTTGTCTTACGGCACAGTCAAACACAACACAATGACAATACACATCCTCAAAAGGTAAGAGAATACAGTAGTGTTACAGGAGAAAAGAAACAAGAGACAAGGTAGTGACTCTGCACTGTTGAAGAGTGTGATTGCAGTGGGGATGAAAGATTTCCTGAGTCTGTGGGTTTTACACCTGGGGGCACAGAGGCGTCTCCCAGATGGGAGAAGTGTGAATTCACAATGGAGGGGGTGAGACACACACTCCCTGATCCTTCTGGCTTTCTTAGTCACCCTCTGTAAAGGATGCTAAAGTTGATTTGATTATTCCCGATTATTTTGACACTTATATTCACTGATTTACCAGCCTGTTACAATTACCGGTACTCATGTTGCCAAACCAACAAGTGAAGCAGCATGTTAAGACACTTTCAATGAATGATTTGTAGAAGAGTGTAAGAATAGTTTTATCCACCTCAAAGTAGCTGAGTTTTCTAAGAAAGAAGAGTCTCTGTTGACCTTTTTTAGAGTGTGTGTGTGTGTGAAAACAGTTTCAGCCCGTCACCACACACCCCCACGCCCCCCTCCTGTTCAGAGATCACTCCTCGACAGACAGGCAGAAATAATTGGTCACAGATTTTCAGTGGTAGGAGGCAGAGGGACCCCCTTTCACCCGCCCCCCCCCGTGCGGCTGCCCCCCATTCACATCCCCGATCTCAGAGCCCCTCCGCCCTGTCCCAGCGCTCCCTCCTCAGAGCCCAGTCCATTCACCTCCTCAAGAGAGCCATAAGAGCCAGTCTCCCTTTGGACACATTGAGACTCCCTGCAGCTCCATTCAGTCCAGTGACGGAAAAATGATGAGTTACCTTTGTCATCCATAAGGGCCGCCAATTAGGGTTTCCTTATCTCTGAATGTTCCAGCTGTGGAATGCAGAGTAAGCTCAAGACTTCATTATTACCAGTTTTAGTATAAGGAGTAGTATGGAAATTGTTTTGCTTCTGTTTTTAATACATTTCATTTTATGCATTGTTTTGTGGGTGCAGCACTGCTTTTTTTCTGCTGAAATAACGGGCTTGTATTTTAAAAGCCTGCTGGTGACTGAGTGATACAGCGGCACGGCTTCATAATTGTGGATCTTCGGTTTAATTCCTTCTGTGTGGAGTTTGCATGCCCCCCCTTCTGCAGGAGTTTTATCCAGGTGCCCCTGTTCCTTCCCACCTTCCAAAGATAGGCTGGCTAGGTTGAATTGGTGTCTGTAAATTGTAAACTGTGTGTTTGCCCTGCGATGGACTGGTTCCAGTGATTGACTTGGACTAGACTCAAGCTCGTTTCATTCCTGGGCAGGATGAAGCGATGTTGAATAATTGCATCACCTGACACATCAACGTTGATGTTCTTTCCCAAGCAGCACCATCAGGCCCAGATCTATTGAGTTGGTCATGTCAATCAGACATGATTGACATGATGCTCCTAAAGCAGGGTTTCTTCTCTCATCAAAGCAGTCACCTACAAAGAGTTTCAAAGATGTGGTCAAAGCAGACTTGAAGAAATTCAACATTGACATCATGGTCCTGGAAAAGTCTAACACTTGACAGAACCTGATGAGAGAAGAGTATCAAGCAAGGACTTGGAGACCCAAAGGTATCGGAATGAGGAAGCCCACCTGATGCCCAGTGTGCAGTAAATGAGGAGATGTGTCCCGAGACAAAGCGTGTTCAACCTGCCAGAGATCCTGTGATTGCCCTAATATTTTTAATTATTAGATAAACAAAGATTATTTTTTCAGGTCTCCTTTGTTTTGCAGAAGTAGTGTGGAGCAATCCTCTACGATCACAATTGTGGAAGGTGGACTCTTCAGTCAAGACACAGGAGGGTTCGATCCTGAAGGGAGATCGATCAGTAGGTTTTGGCATAACCAGTGAACACTTGTTGAGTCAAAATGCTCCCATTTTTGGAAGGGAATTAGACCGTCATCTTGTACCAGTTTGTTCCAGCTTGAAGGTGGGAGCACCAAGGAAAGGACCAAGCAGTCTTGATGGGAAATGACGTAGGGTGAGACGGGGTGAGATAACCAGTGAATGAAAGAAAATCAATATAATGGATGGGTGGACTGGGTCTCCCATAATCCTTATTGCTGAAAAGCTTAAGAATGTAAGGAATATCTGGAATGGGAACCGGCCAATCAGTCTCTCTCACTCTCAGTCTTTCTCCCATCCTGTCGTCAAAGACAGAATCCATCTGGTTAATGACGGACTCCCAGGGCTCTGCATTCACAAGCTCTATAAGCATGACCCAAGCTCTGTCCACCTTCTGCATAGAAATTCAAATGTTTCCTTTAACCCATACTGAGGCCACTCTCGCTCAGCTTTGCATTTGAATGGCAGTGGCTTTCAGGATCAAGACTTGACGTAACCTCAGGAGTCGAGCCGCGCTCACTTAGTGGCTCAGGCCTGGGGGGGGTATCCTGCCCAGGTGGCTCGGAAGTAGTGGCATGAGACCTGGGAGCCGGACCGCGGCTTCCTGCATTTTTCAGCGGCTGTGCCTGTTGTAACGGGTCAGGAGCGCGGAGCCGCGCGGCGGCGGATCTGGGCCGGCCCGGAAGAGGGGAGTGGCGCTGAAAGGGGCCGCCGAGGACAAGCGCGATGGCTGCGTCGGAGGGCACAAGAAGTCACGGCAGCAGCACCCGCGGGACAAATTGGAGTTCGTAACGAAAGTTCGGGAAGGACGACGACAGCCTAGTTCAATCAGATTGGGCTGTCGGTCGTTTACAATCACTGCTGATGTCATTTCCCCTCCTGAAACACTATAAACAGTGTACACAACCCCTTCTCTCCCTCCCATATCCCCTCCTCCACCCCATCTCCCCCTCTGCAGCTGCCCTTTGGTCACCCCTCACTCTGCAGGGGGGGGTCTCAGCCTCCTCATCCTCTGGCCAGGAGGTCGGCCCACAGCCACATTGTAACTAAACACTCCAGAATCCTCTCGGGACCCTTAATTCTTGGGTGTTATTCCCGGTGAGGTGGGTGAGAGAGCCGAGCCTGGCGGTATGCAGGCAGGTAGCCCGGCTGCACCCAGGGGGCAGGATCCTAATTCCGGTCACTAACGGCGCCGCAGCGAACCCGAAACAAGGATGAGCGCAGCAGCCCGGTGGTGGGAGTCCTGCGGGACTCAGGTCAAGGAGTCAACCACCCTTTTCCTGATGTTCCATGTGTTAAAGGAATTCTGCTGTGCCTTCCAGGACAGCACAGCCCCCACCCCCCCTCTACTCCTCTTTCCCAAATTGCTTCCATGTCCAGCCCAGGCTTTTGAAGGCAAAATCAAGCCGTTATCCCACTGGCTGTTCCATCAGAGCCACAGCACAGCTGCCTTGCACAGGGGATAGTGGTTTTTACCTCCTGCCTGTGCAGGACTCCCCTCGTCCCTCCAGGATGAGAGCTTTACCTCCTCAAAAGTAAGGTGCCCAGTTAGGAAATGTGAAACTTTTTATCTGGCAGATGACTCGGTGCTGAACATTAACAGGGAAGTAGCTGCAGATGTGGGAACGTCTCCCCGCAGCTTGCAAGAACGGAGCTGGGAATGGGGTTCTGATCGCACAGCAGCAACGTCCATGTCGGGTTTCCCGAGGTTTGAGTCAGCCAGGACCAGGTGCTGGGTGCTGCACACTCGTCTCTTCATCTTGTGAGTGCACGTGCGTGGACGTGTGGAGTTCAAATAATGCCATACGGCCGACGCTTTTCAGCTCCACCAGGGCAGTTTGTTTAAGAGCTGGGTGCTTGTGAAACGAAAAAATGGAATAAATGCAGCTGGAGTCTGTTCTTTCCATCCTGTATTAAGAGCAGAGGGGAGACCTCAATGATCTGAGAAACATAAGTAAAGTTACGAGTGAGAGGAATCCCTTTGGCACATCTAGTTTGCGGTGGTTGCTAGCTGCTAATTGATCCAAGGAGCACATTCAGATCTTTCTAGAAAGAAGCCAGGGTGTCAGCTTCAACAACATACCTGGGTAGCTTATTAAAGACTCCCCTTGCCTCTGGAACCTCCAGGTTGTGAGATTCAATCTGCACTGTGGGTGTCAGCTTTGATCCGATGATCCAGTCAGGCATCTTGGCCACCTTCTTGGCTCCAAGGCACCCTCTTGTGTGGAGGAGCTTCTCATTGGGGCCTCAGGAGTCCTCTTGGCTCCTTTCAGGGAAAAAGAAGGCTGTCCTCAAAACTGCCTGCGTAATTTATTTTGAGGAACGGCACTCGCCGAATCAACAGTTTTACCTCATTACCTCTGAATCATCAGCTCATTCAAATAGCTATAATAATAATAATTGCTTATACTTATATAGAGCTTTTCTGGACACTCCACTCAAAGCGCTTTACAGGTAATGGGGACTCCCCTCCACCACCACCAATGTGCAGCATCCACCTGGATGGTTTCAATGAATACATATAACTGTTACAGCAAACAGTCTTAGAATATTGTTTGCATGATGTAATGAGTGATATATGTTACCAAAGAGAAACAAATTGCTGGAGGCAATGGAGAGGATGGACTGATTAGAGGTGTCCCTGCAGAAGCCTGCTCTAGATACAAGGGAAACAAACGACTAGCTTCAATGGGAGATCCTTCATCTCCCTGCTAAGACCTAGCAGGTGGCAGTTGTGTTGCTGCAAATTTAAATACAATGGCAGCAGAGGCAGCCTGTTCCAGTTTTCTTGGAAGAGAAGGGGGGGGGTAGCCTCAGTGCTGGGGTGCCCCTACATACATGTTTTTTACCAAAGCAAAGAGACAAGTTTGTCCACTGTCCCAAACTCCCAGAGA